GGGAGGGGATGGCTAGCAGTGATGGGCAAATTCATAGGCAAGAATGTCTCTGCAGAAGACACAACACTAGACCAACGGCCCGGATTATATAGAAGGTCCGCAGGGATTACATGACTAACTAGTAAATGTCTGTCCGTTGTCCAGGCGCCCAGCTAGCTAGTGATGGAAAGCCCTGAGAATCAAAGTGTTGGATAGTATGATACCTGAAGTCGGGGCCTCCACACTCACCTGCTGAGATGCTACTTTTGTGCAATCTTTTTGACAATTAAAAAGCCCAACTATTTCAAGAAGTGATGGAAAGTTCTGAGAATCAAGTGTTGATAATTTGCCGAGGTAGTCGATTACCCAATATATAACGTCTAGTATTTAGGCAGGGTGGCTTAGTGGGAAGTTGTGCACTATTACCTTGTATAGTCAGGGAATCGGATCCCGAATCGTCCCCACACTGGCCAACTAATTGTAAGGCGTCTATTTTCCAGAGTCAGTTGATTGGAACCAGACGCTTCTGAGCTTCTGGGAGGATAAAAGCTCGAACAATGGCTGCTCATGGCAGATCGTCGTATAGCCCGAATACCATTCAAACTCAAATTTCCTTAAGTTTAAATCATAGCAGGTCAAACACCTATATCTGTCCATTACCCATCAATTGACTCGCTCCCCTTTCACATCTAAGAGGGAGGGGAATTTTTCGATTTTTTTTCAGGTTTTTTTCTCATCATAGGACCATAAGGACCAATCTATTGAATAGTAAAAAAAATACCGCTGAATCCATTCCGAGTATGAACGCTGACTCCACGATTTCATTGCCATCCTCTATCAGACCAAACGAGAACCATTTTTTGCTAAGGTTTCTGGTTACTCCCTCGTTAGAGGTTTCTGAAACTGAAAAGTGAAATCGTGAACAACCACAGACCTTTTGGTTATCGTTACAAATATCAAAAGCAGAAAATTACTGAAAAAAGAACAGAAAGTCAAAAAGGGGAATGTTCGCGACCAGGAGCCTGGCAAGATTGGTGTCGAACCACTGACGGGCGGCCCAATTTTTGATTTGTGATGGTGACCTGCCCTCAGTGAACTGACCTACCAATCCCTTCTTCAAGATGCATATAAAAGAGTTTGAGTAGAACGTTGTGGTTCATGTCCTCAGACCACATCACTGTCCAAGTATGCGAATAGAGGGACCGTTTGGGAAGTTTCCCCAAATGATCAAATCAATTAGAAAAATCCAAAAATCCTCGAGAACTAGTCGGTCTGTAGTGCATTGGAGACCAGGGCTCTTTTCTGGCTTCCTATACCAGTGAGTAAATCAACAATATGCGATGTAAGCGGTTGGGAACACTGAACATTAGAAGGTGCTCGTCCTTTTCAGTCATTGCGTGATGCCGGTATCGCTATTCACACAGGTTTCCAGGTTTCATACATCTCCAAAAGAAGCTGGAATTTTTTTACTGATTTTGACAGATCCATTTTGCCGGCCGCCAACCCACTGTCCACACCACGATCCCACTTTTCATAGGATTCAGTTAGTGTATCCGCGCCTTTGACAGAAAGGTCATTTTCTTTGAGTCACTGGGGCTCTTCCTATTTGGTAAGATTCCAGTCCTCGACCAATTTCCCGATAGCAGGATCTGAGAAAACAAGAAAGGTGTTTTCTTCACTCATGGGATCCTCAGCGGCTAAGAAAGCTTTTCTAGAGTGTCTCCCTTTGAGAAGCTCTTTTCTTCGCACCGAACGGTATCTTTTTCTTCCTCCTAGCGGTAATTCTGCGCAGTCGTGAAGTTCGCTGTTCTTCGGCCTTATATGCATGCACAGTATTGGCTCTAACTTTCCATTGTATTGAACACTGCCACCGTTCCCAGGCCTGAGGTGAAGGGCTAAACTGTCAAATCCCTATCCGCCCTAGACAACAGGCTATTACGTCCCGAAATAGAAAGTGCACTAGATTAAAAGTTCATGCGAGACACACAACAGTCGTATAAAAGTTCATGACGTTTCCGGCCCAAGGATTCTTTAAAAAGGGATTTTTCTCTGGGCGTATGGAACAATTCCTCCAATCGGGGAATCAGGACATCGATTTCCACACGTTTTGAGTGGAGCTGTCTACACACCCATTCTGCCCAAAGCCGCTTGCTATGGATTCAAAGCGATCACTCTTGTTTTTGCCATCCCTCCACTCTCGATTGTATCCTGCAGCTTACCTTTCTAACATTACTTCTAAATATACATAAAAATTTTCGAAAAATAACAAAGAATGTTTATTTCTACATCTGTACAACATGCACCGGTTCCACGTTCCAGGGAGGTATTGCTCATGATGCGCGAAGATTTCGTCGGAATACTGCAGAAAATCACTTATCACGAAACCTTTTGAAGAGGGGATGTCGCTCGACAAGTGATTGCTGAAAATAAAAAGATTTTTGTAATAAAGGAAAATATGAAATTACCCTGAAATATATTTGGCTAATAAGCCAACTACTATTAGGTTGTTCGGAAAGGAATGCGCGTTTGAGTTCAAAAAATTTTTTATTATCAAAACGAAACTAAACAAGATCAATTCAAAAGATATTCTCCATTACTATCAATGACTTGT